AGTTTTCAAGATCTGGTCAGTTAACACGTTTCGGACCGCGAAATCGCGCGCAGCAAAGAAGAGTGCAGTTTCAGCCGTCAGCCTACAAAGGGACCTTATTTCGCAGCCTGTGGGCCACATTTGTAATCAGCATTTCGGATAAGCTCCATACCCAAAGTTCTGAGTGAATTTGAAGTGTTTGAATTTTGTCGCTTGAGAGGGACTTTTGTGTTTTCTTGGAAGATAGGAGTAAGAACTCAGTTCCAAATAGTATTCAAAAGTACCTATGTTGTACACGGTACACATCAATATTGAAGCTACGGTTTTTCTCTTTGGAATCGAAGCAAAGGAAAGTTGCGACGTCGCACGCGTCGTTCGCGTTGCGTCAAACTTTTTTCTGAAAAGGCTGGAGAGCATTCACGTTAGAATGACTCTTGGAGAAAGTAGAGTTACCTGTACCGAGATTATAAGAGAAATCATTTACCATCAACCTTGGGTGTTGGAAGAATCCCGAATGTCGAGATGGGATTTGAGGATGAGACAAGATGAGGAAAACCTCGGCTCAGAATTTTGTAGTAATTGCACAAAAATAACTGCGAGTTTGGAAAAGTGGAAAAGTCTACAATGGCTTATCTGGAAAAGTCTACAATGGCTTATTGCTGAAGATAGATGAAGAGAGTAAGCAAGCTAGAAGAATTCCAACATAAAAATTTTAGAAAATGTGAGGACATCCAGAATTTTATCAAAAGTGGTGTGGACGAATTTAGACACTACCGAAATGACGCTAGAAAGGCTAAGCAAATGCCTCTACATGAAATTTAGGAAATCATTAGAAGAAACAAGCAATAAGCAGAGGAAGCGATTGGAAAATTGTTACCAGGCTTTGTAGGCATGCTTTCCAGAATATTTTGAATTTGAAAATCAAAAAAAAAGGTATGATGCGTAAGTTTCAAAGAATGTGGGCAGTAAGAAACTGTGAACTTTTTTCAGAAGAGACTTCGGAAGGAAAAAGATACTTTTAGAGGAAGCCTTTATGAATAGTGGGAAGTTTGGGAGGTATGGGGTGGAGGAGAAGGTTTTGAACGCAATCTAGCAAAAAGTGCTTTTTGCTATTCTGCAGAGCACGGTTTGAAATCATCAGCACCCGAATAAGTACTGACAGGATTGAACGCCTTTGCTTGCAGACAATAAATCATCATTTTACATAATCGATAAGCGATATCCTTCAAGAAGACGGAATGTTCTAGGGGACGCTGAGTTGTATTCGTATTTTATGAGTGTCTAACTCGCAAAGTTTATTAAAACCTCAGTCATATGCTGTTCTCACTACCAGTTTGGTCGAAAAATCAAATGGCCCGATATCCCCAGAATGTGTCCATAAGGGTTATCTGACCTGTTAAATGTGAAAACCATATCTGATTGAAAAGATCGTCTTACTTTAAAGTTACGGTAGACTTTTAAGATGAACAGAAATTACTCCAGTATTTGCTAGCTAGTTGCGCCCTTACATACATCAAAGGACTTTCTGCGCCGTTATTTGCTACTTGAACTTGGGGAAGCTGCTTTATCGAACAATGCCTATGAGAGCTCTCTATCTACAGGAAGCGTTAGTCACGATTGAAATCGTCACGAGGAATACAAAAGTGCGGGAAAGCATAGAAAAGCTTATTTCCTAATTGAGGAGCCATTTACAGATATGAGATTGTTGCTTTTGAGGACAACATATCTCTTCCTGTATAATCTCGATTGTATTCCAGATTTTACTATACTAGTAGCTTTTCCTTTACTTTAAGGCAAATGACTAGCCTAAACTGTCCTTCATAGCAAAAATGAATTTGAGGAGAAATCAAAGATAACTTTTTCGCGGAAATTCCATGAGAACCCATTACAACAGTGAACTTCCAACTTTTCATTTTTGTGTTCCTGCACGGAGTTTCGGTCTTAGACAATCTGCGAACGTCATTCTTCTTGTTCATCGTATTTGGTCGTAAAACGATTGAAAGCAGACCCTGACCTCTTGATCTGTCAATGAAATCTCATTCTTGTGCAGTTCATGCTTTCGAGGTCTACCTTTCCATTTTATCACCATTTACGAAGCGACACGTGGCTCGTGCGTTCGTCAAGCCAAAAAAAAAGAAAGGGTGCTTTGTGAAAAATTTTTCACCCTCATTGTCAGTGCTGACGCAGAATCCATGCGACCTCAACAACACGCTAAACCCTTTCGTGAGCAATTAAATTAAATTACTCATTCTTAAAAGACTGAAGCTTTGCTCAAACACATTGCATCATTTTCACATTTAATGCACTTGTTTTATCTGCTCTTGCCAAAATAACGCTTGAGGAATTATCATCGCCATTCAGATGAGGAGAGGAGGGGGCAGCAGACGCTTGAACAACCTCAAACACTTCTACTGTACGAGCTTTTTAGTTTTGATTTACGGCTTTCAAAAATAGTAAAGATGTGAACCATTCCGAAAACTATATTATGTTCTTAATCTATCCAAAAGTGCTTTGCCGTAAGACTTTCTGCTCCTCTTTCTGCGTTAGCTTACACTTCTAGTAAAATAGTCGCAAATATTTGCCCCCCCCCCCACCCACAAATTTTTACCTGAAGTAATCGGAAGGAGTCCGTGGATGAGTCGTAGGGACTTCTGCAAAAGTGGATGACACCACGGCAGTCCGAGAAATTATTTGGGGGGAAAGGAGAGGAAAATTTTTCAAATGGGAGGCAATAGTAAGAAAAGGGGACGGCTTCTACAGCAATAATCCAAATTGAAAAAAATGTTTTAATTGTTCACAAGCAAAAATAAGTAATTTGCACATCATTATAGCTCATGTAGGATAAACTTTCAGAAATTTTGCAAACCATTTTTAAAGAGTAGAAACTTTTCATCTTGACATGTTGCTTGCAGTAATTTTGTCTCACATTCTTCCTCGAGAACCAGATCCGGAATGAGCTTTTGCATTCTACTTTTATCTCAACATTTCCTTTTTTGTCACAAATGGTCGCTGAACAGCTCGCTTTCGAGCGTGTTCAGTGAATGACTACAATCAAGCAAGGTACTTTTATATTTCTTCCTTTAATGGAACATGACATTTAAACTTACGTCTCACCAATACTCCATTCTAGCTTCTAATATATATGTACAGTGATGGGTGAATGATGTTATGATTTCCTCGTCAAACTTCGTCATGAATGAAGGCAGATAAAAGAGAGGCATTTCATGGATTTGCTGTGGACATCCGCTTACACTTGAAAACCCTTATGGCATTTGCATCGAGGAACTTCATGATGCCATCACCGTGGACACTAGGGCTCTGTTTCTTGATATCTGACAGTCATTTTTTCTCAGTCATGCTTCAAGTATAGAAAGAGCGTCTTCGTAACAAGTCCAAGATATCAGTTTCGCAGACCATCCGGTCTAAACCGGAAACATTGGCCCGTAGTAAAGCTCGATCAGTTGAGGTGAACTCAACTTATACCATCAGTTCACCTTAGGTGAGGTGAACTGATCACCGTCCACGTTCCCATGCTATAAGATGGTCAAGTCAACTGATAGTTGACCATCTGTCCACCTGCCGCAGTCAACTCTTCCACATCAGTTCACGTTCAAGTCACCTCAACGTGAACGGATGTTAGAGTGATCCAAATAGTGTGTAGAAGAGGAGACGCAGACAAGAGGTGACTGCATCTAACATAAGTTGCTCCTGAGTAACTTACGATACACACAACTTTGCCAAAAAATGCAGAAAAAATCGGCGCAAAACTGCACAATACCGGCGCCCGAAAAGGGAAGGATCGATGAACAGCTGATTTTGGCGACAAAAGCAAGGATAAAAGTTTTCCTCTTTTTTTGCAGAGCAATCTTAGTTTCTTGTAAAAACTACTTTAGAAGAGAATCTACTTATTTATTACGTTTTATTTATGTTCCAAAAATTTCAGTTTTTCATGAATTCTCCGTCAAAATATGTCAGTTTTGTTTTATCTGTCCATTTGCTAAGTGATATCCTTGTTAGCGGTCATCATCGATTTTTTTCGACAGTGGCCGCTATCAAAGATTGTCCGGCGATGCAGCAAAAGTTGTGTCGCTAGCCGGTGTCGAACCACGACCGCGCGCGTGTGATTCCAATCGCTTATCCGTTTGACCAGACCAGCTCAAGTGGTTGGTTTTTTGAGAACACATGTGGTTATCATGTCTAGAAAGCGATCCACATCCAAATCAATAGCTCACTGGATGCTGGACTGAAGCGCGATGACCTCAACTCCGGTCCGCGTCGAGAGAGATGCCCGGATGGGGGGTTTACTACGGGCCATTGAACTCCTTCACAGCATGGGAGACCTTACCTGAGTATATGGACACTCAAGGGCACACAAGGGCACAAACGGGCACACACGGGCACACACAGACACACACAGACACACAGAGACACACACAGACACACACAGACGGGTACACACGAACACACATAGAGACGGGCACACACAGAAACATACGGGCGCACACACACACACAGACACACAGACGGGTACACACGAACACACACAGAGACGGGCAGAGAAGGGCAAATGCCTTAGGCCCAAGACAGAGTTCACGCGATTTGATCGTCGTGATTTAATCGCCGCGATTTCCATTCATTTTCAATTTACATTCAAAAATTTCGGGTTGGAGAAGTATCACAACCGAAATGCAAGCTGGTCGGCATGCAATGAACTCATAACAGTTGTCTTGTCGCGATGCAATCGCGACGATCGATTCGCGTGAACTCTGTCTTGCGCCTTAGGCCTAAAGCAGAACTGAAAATCGTTAGATTGAATGTAGAAAGGTCTTGTTTACTGCAGCAGAAGTCACATTTTTGATTTTTCCAAAAGGAAATGGAGAGGAGGGAAAATTATGGAGAGAAGGGAGAAATAACTTACTACTTGCACCAGAAATAACTTTATTTGGAAACCTGCGCTGATGATCAAAAAAGTGCAGGGATGCTTTCTTGATCTATCACATCTTCTCAAGCTTGGGGTCACAATGCGAGAAGCAACATATCCAGCCGATATTGGCTTTTTTCCTCCTGGTTCTTACCATTTCTTTCAGAACCAACTCTCCGAGAGCATGCGAGAAGCTGATGAACGTTACGAATCTTTGCGCATCAAAAGCAAATGGAAGAGCTTTGTGAAGAAATGGCAACTTAAAAAAATCGAAAGCCGCGGTAGCGACGCAACTCGTTTACAGCTGAAATGAAACCATTTGACTCAGTTTCAGAGTGAGAAAGCTAGAGTCCAAGCCGAGACTGATCTAACTCGTGCTATGACCGAGCTCAATGATTTGCAGTCACTGCGCACAGAAAGTAAGCATAGACGGAAGGTCCGTTGTTTACAATATTCAACAAGATTATTGCCAATTTGCAATTTAGTTGGCAGTGAATCAGCTACGTGACCAGGCTAATCGGTTGCAGCAGTACTGTGAAGAAAATGAGCTTTTGACCGCTAAAGTCTCAAAGGTAATCTTTTGAGCGTTTATTGTGCTCATAGTTATAACTTTTTGCTCCTCAGCTTACTCTTAAGCTTAAGAAAGCGATAAAAGCTTGCGAAGCCGACGTAGATAGGACTAACAACCTGCTGAAGAAAGTTGCAAGTTTCGATATGACGATAGTCGAGCTGAATGAGGTCGCCTTTTCCGTACTTTTTATCTGGAGAACACCACGTCGTTTCAGGCGAATGAGGAGTCAAACAAAATTCGCGCAAGTCTAGCATCTAACCTAAGAAAAACAGAAGATGAGCTTGCTGAATTGCTCGAATCTCAAGAGGACTATAAGCTGGCTGTGGAGAAATCCGAAAAGGTCTCTGAAAATCTTTTTTTGTGATAATCCAGTCTTAAGAATTCCGTTAATAATTGTCAACTATATTTGAGTATCCACTAGTTCAACTGCTGGATGAATCTACTTCCTTTTATTATTTAACTAGCTGGCTTACCCGGCTCGTCTGGCCCTTTCAAAACACTATGATAAAGAACTCATCTCTATCCCTGTACAACCTTTCCCTGTGTGCACGTCTACATGCCATTTCCCTATTCCCGCTTTTTTAGCAATCAGCATGCTCGACTACCCCCCCCCCCCCGTGCCAACTCCCAGCCCCGTAGCTCAAACTTTGCAAAAAAATCGATAAAATCGATAAAAGTAATGGATAATTTTGAAAACTAATATTGCATTCGTAATCAGCATGCTCGATTACCCCCCCCCCCCCTGTGCCAAATCCCAGCCCCGTAGGTGAACTCTGCGAAAAAAATCGATAAGATCGATATCGATCGATGACGAAAAGTAGCCTATAACACCCGCCCCGCTCCGAAGTGTATGTCTGCCAAGTTTGGTCCGGATCGGTTTTTAGAAATAAAAATTTCCATTCGGAACATACGTACAGACATACATACGTACAGACATGCAAACAGACATTCAGCTTTATACAGTGCTGACCATAGCTATAAAGCCACTCTGAAAATCACTGTAATTTGCCCTCTTCTGCTCAAAAATGTCTGAAAAACCACTAATCTGTTTGTAAACTAACGTCATGTCATTGACCAGAACGGCTCCCAACTTCATTGATTTTGGCCGGAGAAAAATTGAAAAATTTGAAAAAACGGGTTCCAAAGGTTGGTCACAGCTATTAAGCCACCTCCCATTTTTGACCAATACTGCATTCTTTAAATCCAAAATTTTTTGTACACTTACAGCATCAAAAGTTGAAACATTTGCTACGGAAGAGTCATATTGCATTTATTGCTTTAAAATGTATAAAAAGTCATAGATTTAAAAAAAACCGCATTTTCACCGAATTTTCAAGCACTTGTTTGACTCATGAAGGTCATAAGGTTTGCCTGGCTTCTGCAAAAGTGCGGTTCATAATTATACGAACACCCAAAATTTTGTAAATTTTCGCACTTTTTGGGAGAAACTCGAAAAGCCGTTGGTACCACGCGATAGAGCACAGCCGAAAACGGTATATGATCCATAAGAATGGAAACTGATATCAATCTTAGGAGTGTTTTTGCACCTAATGCGAATTTTTAGCGGTTCATAATTATACGAACACCTCGAACAAAGGTCCATTTTTCATTCAAGATTGCAATCATTTGAGTCCAAATTTGTAGAGTTACAGTAACAAAGTCTGACATATTTGCTACATACTGAACCCAGTGCAGTTCAAAAAGAGGACCGTTACTTTTTTCAGAAGGCTCTAAATGCTTTTTGAGTGATTGCGCTTCAAAAACATCCGTTCTTCTGTGGTTTACGTGCTCTAATTAGCTTCTACCAAAGCTGTGAGATAAAATAAGCTCTTTTGATAGGTATTTTGTTTGACGCTTGGAAAATCTTTGCGTTTTCGTGCCGTTTTTCAATCAAGTTCCAGCTTTACCTTAGAGTTAGCACGATTTCGAGCCTCAAAACTTAGCTTCTTTCTTGCTCAAACATTTGATATGAAGCAGCTGCATTGTTTGCATGATGATGTTTCTGTGCCAAAGTTTTTGGGTTGTTTGTAGAACTGATCTTGAGGCTTTGGAGCTACAAATCAAATAAAGGTGTGATTGCAATAGTAAAATCAGTGTTTTTGGTGACATGACGTCTGCGTGGCTAAAACAAACGCTCAACGCTGCTGATTTTTTTCTAGCGAAATATACAGTCTTGTGGACTTCTACATACTAAATGCTTACTTCATTATACGGCTTCAGAAGCTGCGTTTTGAGGCTCGAAATCGTGCTAACTCTAAGGTAAGGTTGGAACTTGATTGAAAAACGGCACGAAAACGCAAAGATTTTTCAAGCGTCGGACAAAATACCTATCAAAAGAGCTTATTTTATCTCACAGCTTTATTAGAAGCTAATTAGAGCACGTAAACCACAGAAGAACGGATGTTTTTGAAGCGCAATCACTCAAAAAGCATTTAGAGCCTTCTGAAAAAAGTAACGGTCCTCTTTTTGAACTGCACTGGGTTCAGTGTGTAGCAGATATGTCATACTTTGTTACTGTAACTCTACAAAAAATTTGGACTCAAATGATTGCAATCTTGAATGAAAAATGGATCTTTGTTCGAGGTGTTCGTATAATTATGAACCGCTAAAAATTCGCGTTAGGCGCAAAAACACTCCTGGAATGGGCATCGATTTCCATTCTTATGGATCATGTGCCGTTTTCGGCTGTGTTCTATCGCGTGGTACCAACGGCTTTTTGAGTTTTTCCCAAAAAGTCCGAAAAGTTACAAAATCTTGGGTGTTCGTATAATTATGAACCGCACTTTATACGGTAAAAAGCGTTGCAGTCGACATTGCGTAGTCGCTGATATTGATAAACGAGCCTCACCTTACCGAGCCTCACCCAATAGTGAGCGACTAGGCGATAACGGCGAGTGACGACTCCAACACTTGGAGTCCAGGCCCTTCTATACAGCCAAATTGGGTGCGTATAGCCTGGATGCCAACTTCTGGCAAACAATGTTATCATCGCAGTGTGAAGATCGCCTACAACAAGGTAGGCGCCGCCAAGTGCGCTATCAAGAGCCAAGCAGGAGACCTGGCGGCTGAAGAGATGCATGGACAATGTAGGACTTGTCCATGACAGAAAAATCATACTCTATAATAATTCGCAGCCCCCCCCCCATCAAGTGTAAACATGTCGGGATGTCCAACGATGACGTCACGAGAAAGGGCAAGCATGTTTACTTCTTTGGTTGTACAAAAAATTCTGAAATTGTCTGCCAAAGCCCAAAAATGACAAAGGTCAAGTTCATACGAGGAAAAAAACAAAGAGCGCATGACACTAGAAAGCCAAATGGGTAACATTTTACCTGCATACCCCCTTCACTCACATCTCCACATGTATTACGTGCATGCTTCGAGCTTTACTTATCGTCTCCTCTACAGATCGTGCTACCCTTTTGGCGTCGCGGACGTGCCACGTGTGACTAACACATTGGCAACGTTGGCAGCAACACGTTGGCAACATGCAGCAACATGTTGGCGTGGCCAAAATGCTCTGCCAACATGCTGGGGCATGTTGCAAACATGTTGTTGCCACGTTGCCAATATGTTAGCCACACGTGGCAGGTCTGAGACGCAGACCAACGGTAGCACGATCTGTGGAGGGGACGATTTATCATTCAGTTCCACGTCTGAGATACTTCATTTGTTTATCATTTAACTCAACTACTGAGTTTGCTGCATCACTCAAAGTATCTTTTTATTTTTTTTAATTTACAGTTATTACTATTCCGTACTGTTGAGTACTTTTCCATTTTAGAAGTTTATGTGCAGGAAAGTTCTAGATCCATAAAATCGATTTTAAATTTACTCATAGCTTTGAACTTCGTGTCAAAACACGATTGCACAAAACACTAGGTCTGTCAAAAATAGGAGGGTTTGTAGAAATCTGCTGAATTCGCATACAAAACCTTTCCGATCGTTCTAAGATTAGCCCCAAATAGCTTCCATGTTAATGCGTTACTGTGCTGGATATTTGCCAGTATCTACCGACAACTAATCTTTTCTAATCTTGTCGTTAGCTCTACTCGCAACCTTCAAGTTCCGGAAAACTGGACAAGCTTTAGATCTGCTCAATCCATAAGTTTCTTCTTTCAAACAACTAATTCATTTCTGGATGTACTGTGCTGTTAGAGCAGGATTTAAGAATCTACTGTAAAATGCTGCAAATGGAACTGTCTGCTAGCCTGCGCGTAACGCATCAGACATGCATTTTGATACAGTCATGCACCCATCCTGAGATTTGGTAGCATCTTCGTTTTTCTTTTGATCAAACAAATTATGGTATGTGAAAAGTTTTGTTTCAACTTCTAACCGCTATGTTGCCGCAAAGCATTCTTGATATAATCGAGGTGCAAAAAGCAAGTTTGTCATTCGCACGTTTTTTCACATAGTACGACTTTGCGCAGACATTCCTTGAATAGTTTTATGTCTTTCAAATGCGCAAACATGACAAACAAGCGGACGCCATTATCTGGGACGAAATTAGCATGGTGTCAAAGTTTTCGCTGAGGCGGTTAATGCCTTCCTTCAAAACCTAATGTGCAACAGCGAGATCTTCGGAGGAAAGACCATTGTACTAGGAGGAGATTTCCGGCAGGTATTATTATAGAACGAGGACTGGAATTTGACATGTTCGCAGCTTGCGTGAAAAGTAGACGAAATGGGTAGGACAGAGCTTCCGCAGGAAACCATTTTTAATGGCATTCTTATTGATGATGTATTCGGCGACCTCCTGACAAACTTCGAAACGCTAAGCGAACGTGCGATATGGCGCCAAGAAACCTCGATGCATATAGGATTAATGAAGAAGCGTAAGATAAACTTCCAGGCCAAATGCATGAACACTTGAGTGCTGATGATGTGATGAGTGATGAGGCGCAAACAAGCCAATATAGCACGGAGTTTCTGAATAGCCTAGCTCCAGCTGGATTACCTCCTCATTAACTTAGGTTAAAGGAAAAATCTATAGTTATGCTTTTGCGAAATCTTAACGCAGAACGGTCTTTGCAATGGTACTAGAGTCGCACATTGTGGCAACCTCGGTTTAGGTTGCAGGTTTGCATTCGGTGATCGAAAACGGGATTTCGTGACAATTTCACGTATAGATAATTACACTGACAAAGGGTTTCCATTTCGACTGCGAAGGAGACAGTTTCCTTTCCATTTGTCATTTGCGATGGCAATAAACAAAGCGCAAGGGCAGAGTTTGACAAAGGTGGGTATTTTCTTTGAAACGGAGGTGATCTCGCATGGGCAACTTTATGTAGCTTTATCGCGAGCTCGAAGGAAAGACGGCATCAAAGTGCAGAAAGTACAGGTACGGGTGAAAATTGTGGTTATCGGGGCAGTTCTCAACTGATAGCCATAAGGTGTGTCTACCAGAGTAGCCACCGCTTTATCTGCTTCTAGAACTTTTGAACAATTTTGACTGTTATGCTAGCTTTGCTCTGTTTTCTATGCGTCATGTACCACAATTTGTTGATAATCAGCGGAACTCGCATACCACAATATATCTATCGATTACTTCATTATCCGTCAAATGTGCTACTCAAGTGTGTTGTTTACCCAAAGTGATTAGCTAAATTAACTGTAACCTTACATAAGCATGTATTCACCGATCTCACTTTTATCCAATCATATTGCGCATCATGCACTCCTCTCTATTACTAGGCACTGAACTTGATTACATATCCAACGATCTCACGTAATTATCTCATAAAATTTTGTTTTGAATATGTTGCAAACTCCCAGGTATAATACATGGGCGACTGTGCAAAAAAGGCACTCTTATCAGTTACAAAGTAAACAAATTTACAGATTTCAAAATTCTTCCATTCTCAAAGCTTTTCCGCATAGATTTGATTCATAGAATCCATAAATACGCGGTCATTCAAAGAATGGTAGCGAGAATCAAACGTGACAGAGTTATTTTAGCGCGCACAAGATTTATAAAATCGCTGCTTTGGTAATAATGAATGGGTTCACCAGTAAATTCTAGAAATACTTTGTTAATCAGGTTATTCACCTACAAGACCAAAGCGCCGCGTATAATTCAGCTAACATGAATATAGGTCGTTAATACCCATTACTAACGACAAGCTCAGACTTTAAAAACCGACTATGATCTCACATCAGCTTCTTTTTCGTTGGACAAGGCTCAAATACTAAGTCTGGTGCGAGCGTACAATGCAGGGCGGACCACCGAGGAGGGGTGACTGTGCCCCCTTTTTTAAGAATGGGTAGCGAAATTTTTAGAAGTTGCCTGCAAGGTTTACAAAATTGCGCAAGTAACCTATTTTCACTTTGAAAGAATTCGAATAATTTGAAACATCTTCAAATTCGTGTTCTCGCGCGGTCTGATCTTATATTCAAAAAATTTTATAGCACCAGCATGCATACTAATAAAATTGTAAAAATCAACTGCAGTGCCGTGACGTACAAACATTGCATGATTTATCGGTTAAAACATTTTTTTACATCTCATCTTTATAGGAACTCATATGCAAATTCTGTGGAAGTAAGGAGTTGAATCCAGGAATAATTCTGTGGAAGTAAGGAGTTGAATCCAATTTTTAGATGTCTAGAATGAAAAATAGGAACTCATATGCAAATTCTGTGGAAGTAAGGAGTTGAAGAGATAATAATTTGATAATAATTTAATTTTTATAATAATTTGCAAGAAGAGACCAGTATGCATACTAATAAAATTGTAAAAATCAACTGCAGTGCCGTGACGTACAAACATAGGAACTTAAGGAACTCATATGCAAATTCTGTGGAAGTAAGGAGTTGAATCCAGGAATAATTCTGTGGAAGTAAGGAGTTGAATCCAATTTTTAGATGTTTAGAATGCAAGAAGAGACCGACAGTTATGAAAAGAAAATTTTATAGCACCAGTATGCATACTAATAAAATTGTAAAAATCAACTGCAGTGCCGTGACGTACAAACATTGCATGATTTATCGGTTAAAACATTTTTTTACATCTCATCTTTATAGGAACTCATATGCAAATTCTGTGGAAGTAAGGAGTTGAATCCAGAAATAATTCTGTGGAAGCAAGGAGTTGAACCCAATTTTTTGAATCCAATTTTTAGATGTCTAGAATGAAAAATAGGAACTCATATGCAAATTCTGTGGAAGTAAGGAGTTGAATCCAGGAATAATTCCGTGGAAGTAAGGAGTTGAATCCAATTTTTAGATGTCTAGAATGCAAGAAGAGACCGACAGTTATGAAAAGAAAATTTTATAGCACCAGTATGCATACTAATAAAATTGTAAAAATCAACTGCAGTGCCGTGACGTACAAACATAGGAACTTATAGGAACTCATATGCAAATTCTGTGGAAGTAAGGAGTTGAATCCAATTTTTAGATGTCAAGAATGCAAGAAGAGACCGACAGTTATGAAAAGAAAATTTCATAGCACCAGTATGCATACTAATAAAATTGTAAAAATCAACTGCAGTGCCGTGACGTACAAACATTGCATGATTTATCGGTTAAAACATTTTTTTACATCTCATCTTTATAGGAACTCATATGCAAATTCTGTAGAAGTAAGGAGTTGAATCCAGGAATAATTCTGTGGAAGTAAGGAGTTGAATCCAGGAATAATTCTGTGGAAGTAAGGAGTTGAATCCAATTTTTAGATGTCTAGAATGCAAGAAGAGACCGACAGTTATGAAAAGAAAGCTGACAGCAGAGGAAGTGGCGAGACGAAAATTAAAGAGCTAGGAGAAGAAAAAGAGAAGAGAGATAAAACAGGCTAACAGTGATAGCAAAATTACTTAATTTTACTTCTGTTAGACTTACACAGAGACACTTCTGACAATTTAGTAAAATTCAGTCTTTAAAATAAAACAGACAACACTTATCTTACGTGAAACAAAGCCCCACTCTACATTTGTTTTCGAAACTTCTAGTAGAAACAAACAATTTATACTACGAGTATTGGCATTCCAGGAGCTTATTGCTTTCAAGTTGAAAAGGTATGGTGCTATTGCTAGATCTCAAACCCCAAGTTGGAAAATTTCTCATTACATACATATCTGTTCATCCATCGCAAAGCATGGCTTGGTTCCCGTAGAAGTTTGACATCCATGCTTGAGGCCAGTGCATACTGCACGCGATTTCAGTCGCCACGCGATTTGGCAATGTGCCAAATGTTTTCAAATCTAATACCGACAGACTAGAAAGGTTAGTATGTATAACTCTCGTAGAACAATAAAGTATCCTTCTACACATTTTAAGTGCGACTTCGACGAGTTATGGAGAGCTGTAGTACTGCCAAATCGGGTCGCGATTGAAATCGCGCGAAGTATGGCCGAAGCATAGTGCGTGTCGGCAAATCGGAAAATTTTTTAGTGGAAGCAAGAGCTTTTATTATGTGTGAACTGCTGCGGGTTGCGTCACAATTTCTGCAAGTTATCCAGTTGATCATAAGTAAAGAACGCCTACTATTTTTGCACTAACCTAGAAACTTCTACTGCTGACATTTGTAATTTGAACTTGACCACGCTTCTTTGTTCAGGTCTTTGGCTACCATAAAGTTTTCAGTCTACTTTCGTTACCATATATTGAATTTTCGTTTTTTTCTACAAACATTTTTTACATCTAAGTTTCAAGCAAACACTTCTGTCGTCATAAAGGCAAAGCTTGTCATGTGTATGACATCACTGGCGAACACCGAATCTCAGAAAACTGCATCTTCCTCTCGATCATTAAACACCAAGAAGGCACTCCCATCGAGACACTTCACAACCATTTGTGCGACCAGGTACTTATCTGTGGCTAGACAATTCATGCTTGCTATTAACGCTACAATTGTTGTGGTATCTCATGAAAAATAGTAATTGACAGATCCTTGCAGTATTCATAAGTGTGAACCCATCTAATTTCGGTCTTTAGCTCCACCCAAATCCGATCTCGGTGTATAAGTTCCAACCAACGTTGAGCTAAGCTAAATGCTGTGGTATTATTGAGTTGTTTACATTAGTTTTGTTTTACTCAACTGAAAAACCCTCGTAACTTTGTCAAATGATTTTTTCTTATCTCCAAATTATGTGTAGTGTCCCAGATTTCTAATATTAGGTCGTCCCAGAAGTATTTTCGCTTTTTTTGAACAAGCGCCACAATCCGCAGAACAAAGGTTAACAGAAGCTCTTAATAGAATTCGATGCAGTTTTTTATTCTCTTTCAAGTGGTCATCTTTATTTAGCAGTTGAAACAATGTGCTATCAGAAAATCGCGATAAACTGCGACACATGCTTTTCACCAAGGTCAAGTTCCACTATTTTTCTAAATTCTTATACTGATCCCCCGAAGAAGTCCGAGTGACCAGCGGATAGAGCAAAGAAAGTAGGATACAAAACAGTTTCAATCTTCTTCCCAGGACTCCCCATAACTTTTTGACAGAATTTTGAACAACACCGTCGAATTTTAGAAGTTCCATACCAGACGCAGACTCGTCAAACTTCACTAAACTCTCGATCTTTGGGTACCTTTGAAGTGGATTAGGATTTAGCACTAATTTTACGAAACAACTGAGCGTTCCTGGGTTCGAAATATCTAATTTCTAATTTGTCGCGTACAGCCTGGGGTTTCTTGAAAAACATGGATTTTGTATATATATCTGTATGTTATATGTTGTCGTTATATATATCTGTATAGTAACATATTATATCGTCTTAAGTCTCGGCTACACGCCGTCGTCCGAGGCCTGAATGCAGTGACAACGATCGACGTATGGTCTTAGCAAGGTATGCATTATGACACTACTCAGACAATCGACCAGACCCCTCCGCCGGACAGTCCGAATGTGCCAGAGTCGTGCCGGACCCAGTTGACCAATGAGAGAGCGGCAAATGGGCGGTCCGTCGCGGTGACATCACTGGCAGGCAAGTGGGAGGCTTCTTCGGCCCTGCTGCAAAGGTACGCCATTTCTCCGGCGCGGCTCTGCCAGATTTGGCGGACTCGCGCCGGAGAAATTTGCCCGGCGCGAGTCCGCCAGATTTGGAAGAGCCGCGCCGGAGAAAATCGGAGGGGTCCGGAGCAGAAATGGGAGGCCTCCGGAGCAGAAAATGGGAGGTATGCGGAGCAGAAAATGGGAGGTATCCGGAGGAAAATGGGAGGTATCCGGAGCAGAAATGGGAGGTCTCCGCCGGAGAAATGGGAGGGCTCCGCCGGACAAATGGGAGACCCACCGCTGGGGAAACGCCGCGACCCTGCCATTTCTCCGGCGGAGGGGTCCTATCCGCTGCCTGAGTAGTCAAGGATTAGTGTTGTATTAGGTTGTCCGGAAATTAATGCAGGTTTTGAATTTCAACCGCAATAAGTCACACACTTCTCATTTCTAAATAGGTTGCAAGGTACCATTCGATAGAGCAAAGCAAGCTTTACAAGGTGGCGATCTTGCTTTAACAACAGCTCTGATCCACCACGAGTTTCGAGCCAGAAACTGAAAAGATTCAACTGCCTAAAAAATTGAGAAAAATCGTAACTCAGTTCATAATAATCTTGCAAAAATTCTAACTTGCTCACGTAAACCCAATCCACATAAGACATCCATATACGCGGTTGCCGTATTTTTTTCTCCGTTAGAAATCAAGAAAACGGAAATTTTCATGCATTTGCCAAAGTAATGCTGCGTCGTTCCCACATAAGTAGATGTGTACTACAAATCTGTAGAAGTACAAACGTAAATTTCCGGCTCTCTACAAGCTTTAGTTCTTGAGAAATCTGAATTTTAGCTTGAACCACCTAACTAATGAAGGCTTTATTCGATATATCTCGAAAACTAAAGCTTGTAGAGAGCTGAAAATTTAGTTTGTACTTCTACAGGTTTGTGGTATGCAACTACTTATGTGGGGGCGGCACAGCACCACTTTGGCAAATGCATGAAAATTTCCGTTTTCTTGATTTCTAACAGAGAAAAAAAATAAGCAACGGCATATATGGATGTGTTATGTGGATTGCGTATACGTGAGCAAGTTAGATTTTTGCAGTATTATTATGAACTGTGTTACAATTTTTCTCAATTTTTCGGGCAGTTGAATCTTTTCAGTTTCTGGCTCGAAACTCGTGGTGGATCAGAGCGTGGTGCCAAAGCAAAGTCGCCACCTTGTAGAGCTTGCTTTGCTCTATCGAATGGTACCTTGCAACCTATTTAGAAATGAGAAGCGTATGAGTTATTGCGGTTGAAAATCCAAACCTGCATTAATTTCCGGACAACCTAATATATTTTCAGATGCTTAGGACGCTGTTACGCACAAGTACGAGCCTTGCCGATAGGTCAACGATTGGTACTTATCATCCAGCCAACTGCTTTATGAGCAAAACTAGCTGGCATGCCCGGCTTCGAACGTACCGCGTGTTTAATAGGCTCAACAAGCAACACTGGTGTGTAATCTTGAAGTTAACTTATCTGCGTTCCGGCCTTTTTCTGTTATTCTTGTAGTACAGAACAAATGCTTCCTGACCGCATCGTTTTGACTTACTGCATCTTCTTCATCGTGAAGTGAAAGTAAGTTCCACCGCTATGGTTTACACGATTGAAAGCGTTTTAATAATAAATGATAAAAGCTTTTCCCTCAAAATTGCTAAATCGATAAAAGGAATGGGAATTTCGTTATGAAAAGTAGCCTACGGGTTGAATCGGTGTCGAAAAAACACGCATGCAAAGTCTGGCGGTGATCGGTTCAGAACAGAAGTTTCTATAAAGAATGCACTAACTAACAATTTATCAACACTCAGTTTTATATATTAGGTTGGTGCAAAAGTTCTTTCGCATCAAATTCAAAAATTCATAACTCTTTAATTTCTCTACGAATTTGTGCGATCAAATTTCTGCTTAAGAGAGAAACTCATGCTCTTTGCATTTGTACCTGAACTATTCGTTAATGTATACAAATGAAGGAGATAGAAGCTCAAAACCAAAATCACTCAAAATTTGAGTTTTTCGGGGTCATAAAAAATCGGAGACTTGCAATAAAAATCGGAGCAGTCGGTATTGTAGGTTCTTTCACCAGCTCTCCCCAAAGGTGCAAAGCTTGCGCCGATTGAGCGTTCCTATGAAAAGTTATGATTTTCCTGAAAAATGCCAAAATAAATCAAATTCGCCCATTTGTATTGATTGCTCGAAAATCGCAGCTTTTCACGGAGACGCTCAATCGGCGCAAACTTTGCACTGTTGGTAAGAGTTGGTGAAAGAACCTACAATAACTGCTCCGATTTTTGTTGCAAGTTTCCGATTTTTTATGACCCTACACAGAAAATTCAAATTTTGACTAATTTTCTTCTGTCGCTCCTATCTATGCAATACATGATCGTTAGCAAGCAGATAAGATGTCATTATAAAGAGCATGACTTGTTCCTTCATACAAAAATAAAAACGGTCAAATCGGTTGGAAAAATCAGAAGTTACGATTTTTTGAAAATGGTGCGAACGAACTTTCGTGCCAACCTAATATTAGGTTGATTCATAATTAATGCACGTTTTCTATACTTCAACTTTCAACCGAGATAATTCTTTTTCGAAAAGTTTCTGGGCGCAATAAAAACTACTGGAACCAACAAGTCAGTGGCTATAAAACAGATACTTTTGCGTGACTGTATCTATCACAAGAAAGATTTACTTACCTGAAGATTGCCAACAAATTTTTTCAGAAGCCTCCACCTTGAGAGAGCATAACTTATGTTGAAATGGAGTAGCATAAAGCAGTCTTCGCTCCTCGTGTACCCAAGGGTCTCTTGAGCAATAATGCCAAGTTTGGATTTAGCGGAAAAGTTCTGAAAGAAAATATCGCGAAAAAGTAGAAAGTACTCACTTTTTTCTGGCATCTCGGCGGGTTCAAAAATCGGTCATTTTCGAAATTATTAGGTTGGCCCGAAAGTTCTTTCGCACCAAATTTAAAAGTTCATAACTTCTGATTTTTCCAAGCGATTGGACTGCCTTTATTTTTGCATCAAAGAGTAAGTCATGCTCTTTATAACGACATCTAAGATGCATACTAATGATCATCTGTTGCATTGATAGGAACGATAGAAGAAAATTGGTCAAAATTCGAATTTTTCGTGTAGAGTTATAAAAAATCAGAAACTTGCAGCAAAAATTGGAGCAGTCTGTATTGTAGGTTTTTTCACCAGCTCTTTCTAACAGTGCAAAGTTTGCACTGATTGAGCGTTTCTGTGGAAAGTTATGATTTCCCTGAAAAATGCCAAAATAAATCAAATTCGACCTTTTGTATTGCTTGCTCGAAAATCATAACTTTTCACAGAGACGCTCAATCAGCGCAAACTTTGCACAGTTTGAAAGGGCAGGTAATAGAACCTATAATATTGACTGCTCCGATTTTTACTGCAAGTTTCAGATTTTTTACGACCCTACACAGAAAATTCGAATTTTGACTAGTTTTCTTCTATCGCTCCTATCTACGCAACTTATGCTCAAGAGAAAGCCACTAAGGCACCACTGTGAAGAGAATGAATTGCTCTTTCAGATAAAAATGAAAATATGCAAAACGGCTGAAAGAATCAGGAGTTATGAATTTTTGAAAATGGTGCGAAAGAACTTTCGGGCCAACCTAATATTTCATTTTTCTCCGCTGGAAAGTGAGAAAACCCTAGCGCTTTTCTACCATCAAATGAACTAGGTCTACCCTTGTTGGATAGTGCAAAAGACCTGCAATCGCCTTTTGCTTCAAAGTTTTATATGACACGGAAGGGCCGCGACGATCATTCAAGTTCGCAATTGGACTTCTCGGCTCAGAATTCATGGAGAATTTTGTTCAAACAGCATCTTGTAGCACAAAGTTTTCTAATCCTTATGCATATATTTTGAAATTAATCCGGCTATTCCTCATGGATTTAAGGCAAAAAAGTGAAAAGCAAAAATTTTGGGGTTTGATCTCTTTTAATTGAAGGCTCACAACTTGGGAATGAACGGAAATTTACGAAAGCGAAGGGCCGCATAAGAAACTAGAAAAAACGCTCTTTTAGATAGCGTAAAAGGCTTCCGAGGAAATTGATTACATTGATTAATTGTCAAATACCAGCACCTGGAAGAAGAGGTTAGAAAAACGTGCATTAATTATGAATCAACCTAATATATGTCACACATGAAAAATCGAATTCTCGAATTTCTTGAAATTTTCTCAACTATTTTTGGCAAATTTCCAATTTTGGTTATTGAGGAGCTTAAACTTCCAACTGCCTTGATGTTACTGCCAATGCTCCCAGTAGCCCGTAAAAATCTAAAAAAGGGGGAAAGAAGAATAAGAGAGTTTTAGAAAAATTAGGTCCCTTCCCTATATGCCAAATATGAGGCCTTGCCAATTTTTTTAAAGTTTTTCGGGGGAAGAAGAAGAAAGTGTAACAAAACTTATGTAACAACCTAGTACTTAGTATTTTTCATAATTCTCCTACGTTCATATTATATAAAATCACATATTTTATTTGCTATAAAGTATTTATTTGATGCACCTACCAATCGAGTAGCTTTTACGAATGGAATCTATTGAATTTTTGAATGGCGGACACGAAGAGAGAAATCAAGTAGAGTAGAGTGGAGAGGGCGACAATGGATGGAGGAGTTAAGGGGAGGGGAAGGGGGGAGAGGGTAAAAGCAAATGATCCATTTTGATAACGATTTGGGAGTATAAGTGAAGTGAGTCATTTGTCTGCGCGACTCCTAATACTCTTGGTCTTGTAGCCATAAGCCACTCGCCTTCCCGTTCAGCCAGATTTCTTCCGGTCTTCCAGTTTTCACTTTTGGTTTTCAGTGAATCCTTCTTTGATGATATTCGTAGGCTAGTACTGGATGTGTCACTCACTCCACCATTTCAAGTCGCTAACTGCACTTATTGTCATTATCAATATTATCATCATTATTACTAGCGTACTATCATTACAATTATTACTAATCTTAATATTATCATTCAACTTATATTAATATGATCAATATGATTAATATTTCTATTACCAATCCCCCCCCCCTTTCGCAACTTCTCTTCCATTAGACTCAGTTTTGAAATTGAAAAAAAACCGTTTTGAAGTGTTGCAATAAATTTAGAGCTCCTTTTCCAATCACTACGCATTATCCACATAAAATCAAGGGTTGTTTTCTTTCTCACCATGCCGCCAAGTAGCAAATTAGAGTTCTTTAACTAATTTCCATTATCTTTGATTAGCGGCCTGTGACCGATGTATTCGCGCGTGCGTTAAACATAACAGAAAATAGCTGTATTTAACATTGATTTATTCGGAATCATTATTTCAAATCTAATGTGGCAATGGGCATTAATTTATCTAGAATTATCACGTTAGCGCTCTACGTTGCAAAACTTTTTTGCAATCTTGCATCTGCCAATTCTTACTCATCCAAATTCTGACCGAAGTGCCAAGTTTGGTTGATTCAATTCATTTCCAAAGAACTCTAAAGTTGAGTCACCTTTGTGCTCGTATTTTCCTGTTTTGTACCGACTATTTCAATACGTAATTTGAGAATGTCCACGTCATATTTTTTTGTATTTTCGGCGACAGCGCTGATGCGTGTGAAGTCTTTATAAGGATGTGTGACATCATGCAATGGGCAACTTTCGGCTTTTCCTGTCATAACTCCTTAATTGCTCCTCTTTTTTTCCCTCCCCCCTCTTCCTCTACTTTCCCGCCATATTTGAGCCCAACTGCTCTAGCATGGGATTTTGCAGTGGATTTATTTCCATTCTTTCTGTTTTTTCACTGGAATGCATTCGTAACACCTCTCTTCGCACTATCATGTGCTCCAGCATTTCTTTCTGCGTTTACCATAGAAAACAGCCATATCTGCAATTTCCACAGGCTGCGAGAGCCTTCCCCTCCCCTCCTCACAGAAAAGGCTAAATCTTGAATGGTTCTACATCTGTTAAAAATGATATGACTAATAACCCTTAGAAACGTTTCGTTTGAATTTAATCAAGCTCAGTGAAAAATTTCTTAGACATTTTTCAAGATTTTGGACTTAGAAGTGGTAAAAAATCGGAGATATTCCAAAATCTCAAACTTTTCACAGGTTTGCCTCCGCTTCCTCTCCATCTCTTAAATCTCCGAGCATTTCTTTAAAAGTTTAGTTTTGCGTATTTTGAAGTAAACGTTCATTGTTAAGCAGTAATTTGTCTGCTTTTCAAACGTCTCGATTTTTCGTCCTCTAGACAGCCATAAAACATCGCAATTGTAGAAAATCGCTGGTTAAAGACAAATCTCAAAATAGTCAGTATAAGTGTTTTCCCCGACATTTTGGGTGTTATGCTCTACATCAAGTTTGACTGAACTCGTTGCCATAACTTTCTTGTATCTTCATCATCTTCAGTTCTCTACTTCTTTGCAAATCAGTTTAGTTCTTTCCATTACTTGAAAATATTAGGTTGTCCGGAAATTAATGCCCATTTTGAATTTCAACCGCAATAAGTCATACACCTCTCACTTCTAAGTAGGATGCAGAGTACCATTCGATAGAGTAAAGCAATCTCTACAAAAAGGCCATCTTGCTTTTGCAACAGCTCTCATCCACCTCAAGTTTCGAGCCAAAAACTAAAAAGACTCAGCAGCCCGAAAAATCGAAAAAAATCGTAACGCAGTTCACAAAAATCCTACAAAAATTCTTACTTGCTCACGTAAACACTATCCACACAAAACATCTATATACGCCTTTGCCGTATTTTTTTCTCTGTTAGAAATCAAGAAAGCGGAAATTTTTGTGCATTTGCCGAAGTCGTGCTGTGCCGTCCCCACATAGATAGTTGTATACTACAAACCTGTAGAAGTATAAACGTAAATTCTCAGCTCTCTATAAGCTTTAGTTCTCAAGAAATTTGAATTTTAGCTTGGACCACCTAACTAAGGAAAGCTATATTCGGTATTTCTCGAGAACTAAAGCTTGTAGAGAGCTGAAAATTCAAGTCTGTACTTCTACAGGCTTGTGGTATACAACTACCTATGTGGGGATGGCACAGCATCACTTTGGCAAATGCACGAAAATTTCCGTTTTCTTGGTTTCTAAAGGAGAAAAAAATACGGTAAAGGCGTATATGGATGTTTTATGTGGATAGTGTTTACGTGAGCAAGTAGGAATTTTTGTAGGATTTTTGTGAAATGAGTTGGAATTTTTTTCGATTTTTCGGGCTGCTGAGTCTTTTTAGTTTTTGGTTCGAAACTCGAGGTGGATGAAAGCTCTTGCAAAAGCAAGATGGAATTTTTGTAGAGCTTGCTTTGCTCTATCGAAAGGTACTCTGCATCCTATTTAGAATTGAGAGGTGTATGACTTATTGCGGTTGAAATTCAAACCGGGCATTAATTTTCGGACAACCTAATATAAAAGCTGTTTTAGATATCAAATGTCGTCTTCGTGCATCGAGAAATTTGTCCCGTCGTCATGCGTCTGTCCGCTTCCATGTTCGTGCAGCCGTGCAAATGTCGTTGCTGATATACTTGGCGTATCTCCACTGTATCATCAAGAAGAGTAAGTTCGTACTTCAGGGCAATGTTCAATACCTATTCGGATCTTCCTCACCACGAGAAACCCATATCTGGGCCTTTTAGCGCATGAAAATGGCGAAAATGAGCCTTTTTTGAAGCTTCAGGTCCGCATTTAATGAAAATACGCCGGAGGTCTTCCGCTCCCCGCTTCCCTCGTTTCGCACTCCACCCACTTACACGTATTTTCCGCTGAATGCGAACCTGGAAAGCTTGAAGAAAAGCTCATTTTCACCATTTTCATGCGCTGAAAAGTCCAGATATGTGTTCCTCATGGCGAAAAGGCTTCGAGAAGATGAAATATTGGAAAACGAATTTTAGCGGACACTGCATTCAACACTCAATAAGAAGCCTGATTTGAGCATCGAAGAATTCTGTCGGAAAGGACGCAGAAATCACGAAAAATAGTAATTTATGATATCACAAAAACAACAGTTTATGATACTGCTTCTCCTCATTCTATGCGCTTCGAAGCTTTTATGAGAATGAACTTTCAATCTCAAAATGTTTTCCAAATCATTTCAATTTATCTCCTTCACTGGAAAATTCACTTACGTGAATAATAAGAAATTATAAGACTCAGGACGATGTAACTTCAAAAAAGCCAAATGTATTCAATTGCTGTTTCCTCTTGCTTACAAGGGAAGGAAGGTTGGTCGAAGTGGCCTTTTGAAATAAGCTGTATACTGCGTTGTAGAGCTTGGAACACTGATTCCAAATCTACCTTTGCTATCTGCTGCGGGCTTCTGGGCGAAGAGTTATGAAGGTTAGGTGAGTAAAAATCTGAATGCAAGAGTAGGCTAAAATCAGTCGTAACTTTTTTTATTGGGTTTAATTGGTAGTCGGGTCACTCTCGGTGCAACAAATATTCTTGATTCAAATAAACCAATTCGCTGCTGCCTCATTTGAACATTGGGAAAAGGTTACGACTGATTTTACCCTATTTTTGCATTCAGATTTTTACTCACAAAAACCTTCATAACTCCTCGCCCAGAAGTCCGCAGCAGATAGAAAAGGTAGATTTGGAATCAGCGTTCCAAGCTGCAAGGCAGTATACACCTCATTTCAAAAGGCCACTTCGACCAGCCCTCCTTCCCTTGTTAGTCACATTATGCCGATAGCGACAAGACTTTGCTCCAATTTCCGAAAAGGCAGTTCAGTGTTATAAGATGTCTGATAAGGAAAGCTACCTTAGCTCGGCCTTTTGGTAAAAGGCATATATTCTAAGTCAGCTTCAAACGCTGATTCCAAAAATGCTATTCCTAGCTGCCATGCATAATTCCGAAGCGAGTTATGGGCTTTTTCCTGCGCAAAAATTGGTTTACTATGAACATGAGAAGACTGCATGTAGATAAAAATCTGCAAGAAAAAGGTGCTGAAGTATCGAATTAGTACAAATCCAATCTTTTCTCACAAAAAAAAACTTAACGCAGGTGTATCAGCACTTCATTGATGATGACGTAATGTCCGTGAGTCGATGTCCATGCCAGTTTTTGCGCAGGAAAAAGCCCATAACTCGCTTCGGAATGGCTCCTGGCAGCTAGAAATAGCATATTTGGAATCAGCGTTTGAAGCTGATTCCGACCATATATCCCTTGCAAAGGCCAAGCTAAGTTAGGTAGCTTCCTTTGTGAGATACAAATTGTTTACTGTCGAATATGATGTTCTGTCGTTTTTCCATCATAAGTAAATACCTCAATTTCACGAATGCCAGGCGCACTTCCTTTTTTTTCCAAATACGAGCAGCCTGAACATACCAAAAAATTTCGCGTTTTAAGTACTCTATACCGTGTTGTGTATAGTTTGGTAGCAAAATTCTGTCGCAAGCGTTCGTTTCTAAGAATTGAAAGCTTATCGTAAAGTGTGGTATAACTTTTATTTCGGATGTTCAAAAGTACGGTATTGAAGAACAGACTGAGGAGCTCAAGTTCAAAACATTGCGCTCTTTTATGAATCTTTCTCATCATAAAGCCTTCAAAAATTGGATAACTTAATTAGGCGCCCCCGGATGCCCTCATACGCGGGTGCCAGTGTCGTTCAAGCTCCGTGCTAACGCTGTGCCGGAATTCACGGGGATCACTATGCACAATTGACATGGCGCTCGAGCAACGCTAATATGGGTGACTTTGAATGCAGAGAACGCTTTACCTATGCGAATCTTCTAATATCTTTGATTATCTCTCGTGTTAGGACTGCATATGTGCAATCATTAAACTAAATGAGTTACAACATATGAAGTTTTGAAAGTTTTTTGACTTATTATTACGAACAAGAATCTTAGAAAAACAGCTGCGTCAAAGTTTCTCATGTTCGTCATAGTTTGTAGCTTTGAAAATCTCTGAAAAATTCTAGCCATAGTGCTACGTTTGACATCTTTGTTATAATCACGCTCTCTTTTTATGACCTAGTGCCCTCAGATATGAGAAATGCAATCGAATTTTGATGCCTTTTGCGAAATGTAAACGAAAGAGCATGAGCTTCACGTGAGTAGGAACACTCAGCCTGTTTGCACCAAATATTTCTCGGTCAATGGGCAATCAATCAATTATTTCCATGCAAGGCTTTTTACCAAAACATTATCTCAGCTACCCTATGAATCGCTAATAACACCCCCAATCGCTAATAATTTTCTACTAAATGAATCTCACATTGATTCTTACATAATTTTCTGGATAGTTATCGTGTTCTGTCATAAAGAAGCCTGGTCTGGGAAACGTCAACTGGTCCTCGTGGGCTAAAGCATGTAACGACAGTACCAGTTGGCTTGAACCTTAGTTTAACAGTATGCTATCAGTCTAACCCTGATTAGCATAATGCTGCCACCTACATTATCAAATCAAAAGTATAAAATCTTCTTTATTTAATCTCTTTTCGAACTCCCATAATTCAAAACCACTTTGTGAATTATGCCTGAAGTTCAACTGTTTCCACTTGTCATATTAATCCAAATCAATTCGTGTGGAAGGCGTGGGCTATATTAATACTACAGAGCTTACAAAACGAAAAAACAACGGAATGTATAAATATTTTTTTGAGTATACCAACCACGCGCATTCTAAACAACTCATATGTGCTTTCTTTTTTGGTGTCCCTAAGTATTTTGCTCACAAGCGTATGATTGCAATCACGAAACAAATACTTTCTACCATAGAATATCTGAAAGCTATGCACCAGATGTTTTAAGAATGTTCAAGAGTTTATGATTAGTAAAAGATATAATCGTATGCATTAGCGGCATAGACTCTGATGTAAGATGGATAAATGAAAACCGACTAATTTGATGGACAGGAAAGGTCTCCAAAAATTGTTTGCGATTTGTCTTCATTTATGTCCGAAGCTTTGGCCAGACCAATTTATCAGAATTAATGAATTGCCAGCAGTTATTACAGTAAATGATTTAAGTTAAGGCTCAGATGGTCCCAAAAGTGTATTTGAAGACATGGTTATCAATCTATCTCAACTCCTCAACTTCGTCAATATTTCATTTTGCGGACGAAAACAATTTGTTTCAAACTCAATAATATTTTCACGGAAACAGATCCGTTTTTGAGAATATGAATACTCACAGTACCGCTCGTTGGAACTCTGCCGCTTGCATCTACCAAGCCATGAATGATCCGGGATCGATGTCACGTCTTCAACAACCTTCGGGAGATCGGAAAGTCAGAAGCGGTGAGTAAGCTCGAAAATTTTCCAACAACGATAAAAAGCTACTTCGAGATCTTATCCGCGCGAACACCCATAGTTCAAGAAAAAATGAATTTTTTGCACCACTAGCACACGTTAGCGTAATCTGCGCGGGAAAGCCGCAGTTTGAAGTGAATGAAGCTCTTACCGAAAATATTTAGAAGCAGTCTTCAGGCAACAGAATGAGATGGTCGTATTTCAAATTGGTGTGTTTACTCTTTGTCAACTTAAAAGTGCAGGCAGAAGTCATCAAATTCTCTCACACTCCACGCTACAGTAACGCCGATTCCATAGGTCCTTAACATGTTCAAATTAAGTATGAGACTTTGACCCATCAAAGTTCAAGGTAATGGTAGCGGGGATTTTTTTTTGTTAAATGAAGTTTAGCCTCGGTTCCACTTTTACAAATATTTCTTTTGTGTAGTAAACCACTGTTACTCTATAAATACTTCATGACAGGTGTCTCCACGCATGTTCATTAAGAATTAAAAAACGCTTGGGAAGAAGAGATCAGCAAATTAACTCTGGCTAATGCCTATTTTCGTATCGCTGTGAAATAAAGTAAAGTAATTTTCGTGACAAAAAAACACTGTGCCACTTTGTGCTTAATTTTTGGTACTTAAATATGTAGTCTATCTATAGTGGTCCATATTTCAGCTGCTTCAGTTTCTTTCGTTTCTTGTAATCCAGTTATAAATGGTAACTGCACACATACATGAAGCGTGGTGAAGCAGAATAGCGAAATAATCAAAGAAAATAGTGCAACAACACTAGATTTAGGTACTACATCACTGAAGAAAACATTAGCACTCATGCCAGATCTTAATGCGAATTTTACGCTAATGTTAAGTAGTGAGTAAGTTTTCAACAAGGCCTATGAAAAAGGTTAGCTGTGTCGGAATTCACTGCATCTTAATATGCTACCGCAAACTCTTTGAAGCAATGGCTAGGGTAAATTGCAAGTGCGAACTTATCGCACCTACATGCCCTTGGATCCACTGAGTACGAAACTGCGCTTGAAAAGTCAAAGAAAGTGCTTTATCGGCGTCTCCGGCTTTGAAGATTGCTGAGGGGGCGGACGAGGGACTCTGGCCAAAGACAGCGACTGGCTGCAGGAAACTGTAGCTCTCCGCCCATTTTGGCGGCGATTGGCCCATCGGATTAGGTAGCCAATCGCGACTCAGCAGGCGATCGCTCGTTCATCCCCCTCAGCAATCTTTATGATCTGAAAAGCCATGAAAAACACTTTTTCGGGCACAGCCCTGGACACAGCGCAGGAGGCCTACGAGGGATAGAAAGTTCGCAATTGCAGGTCTCCCGAGCCACTGTCTATAAGCCTTAGTAAACGCAAGATATCTGCTCAAGCGTTAAGCGCGGTAATATACGTTTTCGGTGTTGGATACGGTATCATATTGCGAGGTGCTGTGCAAAAAGGCCTTCAAACCCCACATACTGCAAATATAAAAACATCAAAAATCGTTCATAAAGAAGCTTAATAAATACAGTATTGTTTGAATCCTGGTTGCGCTACAACTTGCTTTTTAAGCAAAATTACATATACGATAGCCTAGCAATGTTTGAAAAACTGAACTTCTGGGTAAACTTGCAAGCTTCACTTTAGCTTCAAAATCAAGCCGCAGCGTCAAACGAAAGTTTTTTTTCAGCATATCATTCACCAGAACGTGACTCAAATCATCGCACTCATTTTGGAATAGGAGGAAGTATGCACAATTTAACGTAAGTAGCTACATTATCCAACAATAACTTTCAAAA